CCACAGGGGCCCCATGTTACCCAGTGCTTTCTTCATACTCCCTATGTATCTAAAAAAGGACACTTTGTTGTCCTTGATCCTTGATGCTAGCCCTAGTTCCATATCTGTCTTAGCTTTCCTAACAGCCCCCCTACAAGCCCAAGTGATGGAAGTATACTCTTCTTTGGTGATAGCCCCTCCCTTCCACCGGGCATACGCCTCGTTTTTGCCTTTCAGCCATTCCTGAATGCCTTTGCTGAGCCAGGGGGGCTTTTGAGCACTGTTGCCCCCTTTGATTCTCATTGGGACTTTCACTCCTTGGGCCCGGAGGATTGTCTCCTTAAAGAACGACCACTTATCTTGGACACCCAGTTCCCCAACTCTCCAGGACCCCAGTGCCTCTCCTACCAATCTCCTCAACTTGTTGAAGTTGGCCCTCTTGAAGTCAAGGGCTATTGCCTTACTGCAGGCCCTTGACACCCTGCACTGTATGGTGAATTCCAGCCAGTGATGATCACTGTCACCCTGGAGTCCCCTCACCAGGCCTGTGGCCAGAACCAGGTCCAGGAGGGCATTCTCCCTGGTGGGACTGTGCACCTCCTGGGTTAAGTGGAGGTCCTGTATCCATTGAGACCTTTAAACATGGTGCAGGCAGCAGGGGGCAAGTAGGGCACGGCCCCTTGGCTGCAAGGCCCCCCACGGCCACACGTGCCACAGGATACGATGGGCCAGCCCTGCATACTGGACAAACGGGAAGTTTGTTCTTCACCTATCTTAACCACTAATGTGCAGTTTTAAGAAGAGGTTAGGCATACACTTGTATAGGATGGTTTAGATATCAATGCCTTGAGCAGGGAGTTGGACTAAATTATCTCCTGCTGTCCTGTACAGTCCAGTTGGCTTAATTTTTGAAACATTAAGTTTAATATCTCTTATTAAAATAACTATCTATGCATCTGAAGATATTCTCATTTTCCATATAAATAGTCTGTTCTTTTTGTCCTACTAGCTTAAGTCCTGAAGCTTTTGTCTTCAGTGTAGGTTTTCTTGCAGTAAGTTGCATGGGTTAATTAAGCTTTATGACAAAACTTGTCCTTTTGAAATTTGATGGCTTTCAATTGCAGTTTTTTGTATAAATAATGGTAATAGTATTAATTATCTTTGCTATATCATTAGTTTGTTCACTATTATAGTCTGTCTTATGTAAAGTATCCCAGTCTTTTCAACCTCCTCATTCAGCTACCCACCTATTTCTGATGTGTCTTTGAGAGGCTACCATACCATGCAATATTATTCATAATATTTGTATGCTTTTCAATAATATCTAACATCGAGCTGAACTTTTCAATGAGCCTCTTATGAAGACTTTCCAAAAGTTTTAGAAATGTCCTGTTAACTGTTGTCAATTGTTCTTGCCCACTGTATGGTAAAGCTCTCGAAAAATTCTAGGAAATTGGAGGAACAATTTTCAATCAGAAAAGAAACATTACTTAGTCTTGAGTTTTTATTTTACACTGAAGGTTTCTTCAAATACCCAATCTGATGTTTATTTATGTATTTTTAAAACTGTGTAAGTGTTCAAAAATCTGGTAAAAATGCATATTCTAGAACATAGGCCTGCACTCTCCCAACAGAACAAGTTTTGACCCTGATGATCATACGACTAACTTTCATGGTTTTTCTTAAATATGAAGATGGATAAACTCCTTGTTCTATTTGAGCACACTAAAGCTTAAAAATGTCAAACATGGTCACCTGCAATTCAGAGACAGACTTAGGTGTTAATTTTTCAAAGATGCTGACCATCTGTAGCCCTAATTGAAGTTAATATGATGTCAGGTGCTAAAGGCAGAAGATGTTGGATTGTTGTATTGCATCGTATTTTAGGGGCCAGGTAGCTGTTACAAATAGATTATCAGTCGATCCATCAACGTATTCTTTACAAATTAGAATGGGGAAAATGCTCCTCAATTTTTTTTTTAACTGTCTAGGGATATGGACAGATGAACAGATCAAATGGTTTAAAATTATAAATACTTCACAGCTGATGTGCTGTAACAGCTCCATCTGTCAGCTCTATTCTGCTCTAGGTAGAAGCTAAACCGTTGTAGTTTTAAGCCTATTCTATTTGGGTACAAAGATATGGCAGTTTAGCTCCATTAAACTGGTAGAAGAGTAGCCAGACAAAATATTTATGTAAGTTCAGCTGATGTGCAGTCTCAAGCAGCAAGTTCCCTCCTTTAAAAGCAGTTTAGAGTGACATCTGTCAACAGCATATAAACAAGGAATAAGATTGCAAAGTAGCTTTTGCTGCCTCAGGAATTCATGCCATTTCAGCTAATTCACCAAGGATTCCTCGGTATTTAAGATAGCCAGTTCTGAGACTTATTGACCAACATAAGGCTAAAAGACCAGCCAATGCAGCAAGTCTAAACTTGATACAACACAAAAAAAGAAGAAACGTTGACACCAGAAGCTCAAGCAAATAACCCTTCATGTGAGTAGCCCTACTGATTTCAGGTAGGTTATCACTGAAAAGGTTTTTAGCACTGTAATTGTGGCCTTTCCCTTTGACTAACAGAAAGCAACAATCAGTCCTGAAACTCAGAAATGTCACCACCTGATGCAAATTAGTTATAACCTAGAGGATCCTGTTTAGTAGGTAAAGGACATGTCAGAAAAATCCCACTGGCTTTGACAAGGATCTCTCAGCTCCTCTGCTATCTGGAATACATAACCCCACCATGTATTGGGCTTCTCATGAGGACTGATATCACATGCTTAGAGAAAAAACACTCTCTCTTAAGTAGGGGTTCAGTGAAAGAATCCCACTTGTCTAGTTTTTGTTCCAGTTCAAGATTTCAAGAAAACACCTTCCCTGTATCACTAACCTTTTACCCACAGGGCATCATGTGGTCTTGTTCCACAATGTCTTCTGCTCTTAATTATGATGAACAACTATTCAAGCAAACTGTCTTATTCATTTCAGCAATTGCTTCTCCCATGAGTAAGCATTTCTCAAGAGAAACAGAATCAGATTTTGCTCTTCAAATATATTTATTTGTTCTCCAATTATCTAGTTATGTACGCTAATGCCTCCCACATCATCACAGGATGTGAGCAGGTCACAAATATTAACTGAGTTCTCTTTAAGACACTATAGTAAGGAATGAAAGTACGGTCAGCCATTTTACAGATCTGGAATGGAGAGAGATGACATGGTCAGTTGAAAAAAAAAGGCTTAATTTAAAACCAAGGACTGAACACATTTCTCTTGAGGTCCCAGTGACTTAATTACAAATTCCTCTGCTTCCTCACATCAACACTGTCAAAGGTATTTAAATGGTTGTGTTTGCATAGCAGCTATTTAGCAGATTATTTCATATTTCCCTTGTAGCCTTTACTCACTAAAGGATGAAATTCAATGGCAATAAATCAAGAATATGAACAAAAAGGAACAGTATTTTGGTATTCCTGGTCCAGAACTGTAATATTACATTACACTGAAAAAAAAATTCTCCTTCCCCCATTCAGGAAACTATAAACTAATAAGATTATATTAAGAAGGTAAATTCCAAGCTGATGGGGAAAACGATGACAAATATAACCATGTATTTGATCTTTTATAACAAAAAAAAAATCACTTCAACATATTTTGTTCAAATAGATACAGTATTTAATTGTATATAACTTTTGCACCCCAGGAATTTTAATTGCTCTTTTGTAATTAAAAAAAAAATCTTAAGGTTTTTTTTTTTTTCCAAATTTCTGCAATTTTTCTCCAATCAATTAAATTGCAAGCTAATTTTTTTACTTGATAAATATCCACTTAGGAACAATGCGATCAAGGATTCAATTTAGGTTTGCATTTTAATTCATTAGTGGAACAGTAAGGCCCTCTTCTGGATTACAAATTACAGCAATGCCAAGCAAAAGTAAATGCAAGTGACATTTTGCTAACCAATGTCCAAAAAGTTAGAATATCATGCATTTTGTTCTCTTTCTGTTACTCCTATTTTCCTTTCCTGGTCTTCATATCTCCAGTTAAACATGCAGATGTCAGGATTTGGCAACTGAAAGTAAGTCCAATTTACTTGTGGATCATTTTTTCCATACGTTAATAATCAAGGAGTGAATGTCAGAAAGGGAGATTTTCATGCCAGCCTTCAATTCTTCACACATAAATCACTAGTATGAAAGACTTGTATTTGCTTATGCAAATCAGCATGTATATATATACATGAATTAAGTATTAAGACATATACAGTTTTTCACATGCATCTTTCTGCCTAAACATGACTTTTCAGAGATGTTTGATCTATAGGAGACAAAAAGAATAAAATAATGAAGAACTCTTACACTGGTCTGGTATCAGTTTTCAAGGTCTGTTTGTTTGCCCTTTGTTACCCTCTTACAGTTCTTAATTAAGGTATACGGTGTACAGTAAATGTCCAGTTGAATGTTTATAGGGCTGTTTCCTTCTAAATGGCTTAAGTAAACTATTCTCTAAAAATACTTGCTATCTATAACCATAGACAGGACCGTAATAGAATATTCCATCCACATGCTGTGCAGACAGGCCATTACTGTAGTAGATCCATATAAGATCCATGTGGTGCAAACCGTTCAGTCTGAACTATAACTTAAAACCTTCTCCCTGCCCGATAAAGGCAAATATTTTTCACAAAGACTAAGGTTGGTAATTTAGAAATCATATCACCTACTAGACACATAAAATGGAAGACACTGACAATATTCAAGTAGTAAAACGGGAGCAGATTTGAAGTTCATTAATGTTGCCGTTCCCAAATGCTGCACTGAAGACAGTGAAGAAATCTTTCCCCATGGGCCATTATTTTCTGCGCTTCAGTCTTCTGTTAACAGAGGGCTTTTACTTACTGCATTCCTTTTTCCGTACTTTTGACTTCGGTGCTTCCAGAAAGAAAAAGGACAGGAAGAAAGAGGATATGAAATATTAATGCTGACAATGCCAGTGCCTACAATCTTTTGAGAAATTGTTAGGGTTAAAATGAGTGCACAAAAAGGAAACGTACCATTTGGATTTTCTTGTCTGTAGAAGGTTTTTAACATTTCCACTGCTTCTTCAGCTCGATAGCCAGCAATGCACTGTTAAAATCAGAATACTAGATTCATGAAAACAAGATGTCATGGACCTCACCATAATATCCAATGCGTAGGTTAATTGCAAAGACCTGTATTGTCTCCTTTATTTACCTGAAGTATATCTCTAATTATCTGTGATCAGAACCCCTCATTACAGGGTGAAGATTTATCTGTTTTGATTTAAATTGGCATGAGGCTTAGTATGGTAATTCAGATTTGTTCACAATCTACAGAAATTATGTGGAAAACTCTTCTGCAAACTCCATTCCCTTTACTGCATACTAATTAGCATGCTTCCAGCTTACTCCAGGTAAATCATACTAACACCTGGGAATGCAAGAGAGACTCACAGCTATTTGTCTAGTTGGCTCCTACCAAGAAGCTCTTCTCTATAATCCTGTTTTTTATTCCTAACAACAAACTTTCAGGCCTCAGTTGCCCTTCAAAAACAATATTCTTGCCCACAAAATGTGTACTGTAACTTTCCCTCCCCTCTGTGAATGAGAACAACCGGAAAAATAACAAAGTAGGATGTTTTCAATGACAGCACTAATTTCAGATCATCCACCCACATAAGAGGGTGCTGACTTGTATGTATTCATCCTACTGCAATTGAATGGGAGAAAAGAGGAAAACACTTGCAATAGAAATAGCCTTTTCCTTTATACACTTGAACATATAAGATAGTTAAATACCCCTTGCCAGCTGAATGTCAGGAAAGCAATGCATCAAGAGAAGGCTGTGCAAAGCCCTCTCAGAGTCCTATTTCACAATAAGCTTTTTTTCTATCTCCCAGTTATGAGAGACAGGTAGTCAACTGGTAAGGAAAGGCCTTACACTGGGTTGAACAGAACATGGCCTTGCTGATGATAATTTTTTTACAGCCATACACCTTAAAAATCCTACTGCCAAAAGTAAACATCACCATTTTTAAACCATGGTTGGCAACCTTGGTGTGGCAGAGAGCCAGAAGGACCAAGTTTAGGCCCAAGGCAGGCTAGTCGTAGGGTCTGGCCACTGCTGCCATTGCCACTTCTTCCTGCTGCCCAGCCATAGCATGGGTGCATCTCCTACCTGCCCAGTCATGGCACTGTGCAGGCAAATCCCCACACTTCCAAAACTTCAGCTGCCCAGCTGTAGCATGGCACAGCCAAAGTCCACCGGCACTAAATGCAACTTATGTCCCCCAGCTGCTTGGAAATCTGCTGAAGCGCCCACCCCCCCTCTCCACAAAAGGCCACAGGTTTGATCTAATGGCTCTGTGGGCCCTAGGTTGCTTATTTTGTTTGAAATATTAAATACATGAAAGGAAATATTTGGATAGCCTACCTGGAATGGTTCCCCAGTGCCTATTAAATCATCAGAGGAGATGTTCAAGACCGAGCCACAGCCTCCAAATCTCTCATTTTGACAACCGTATACAACCAGTGGAATTTATGCAACTGAGTTAAGGTATTAAGCAAAGAGAAAACATGTCTCGCAGAATGTTCTTATGGCACAAAGCACTCCATTTGGCTTGCTGAGGCTTGCCCTTTGAAGGAAGCAGCCTGTACTCCATTCCTTGATGCTGGGCAAGGAATTCTCAGCACCTCCTTTTCGGTAACATAACTGAAGAGCCATATCCAGCTTTCTGCAGAGCACAACACGGGCCAGCCTGATTAGAGCATCAGAAGGGACAGAGGAAGGAAATCCCAAAAAAGAAGTGCATGAAGCCACATATTACTGGTTTGCTATATTTTCCACATCTCCCTTTTTTAAAACGGTGACACTATTGGCACTCCTTAGGTCAGGACACACATGGGCCAGAGGAAATGCTTCAAAGACGTCCTCAAGGAGAATATTAAGTGTGACACTGACATTACAAATTGGGAAAAAGTAGCACAGGATGGGGCTACATGGCAATGTCTTGTGAGAGACAGTTCATCTTACTTTGAGGAAAACTGTCCCACCCTGGAGGAAGAAAAACAACAGAAACAGAAGGAAAGGAAACAAGACCAGGAAATCAGTGGTTTGACCCTCCCTTTAACCACTATCTGTGGCATCTGCCAGAGTCTGTGGCTCTAGGATTGGCTTTAGCCATTAACGGACTTATCTACTACTCTTTACTTGACCCATGGGAGTGATCATCCTCAACAATGAGGGACTGACAATGACGACATAGCTGGATGCTGGACTGAGATTTATTTTTCCAACCTTGTCAAAAAACATCTTGGTCATATGGTCTTCAGTACAAAAGCATACTGTGGGTATGTTCTCTGAGCAGGCAAACTGGTCCCCTGTGCAGCTTTATTTGACAGCATTATCCTCTAATGTGTTGGCTCATAGCCAAATGATTTGCTTGAAAACAACATGCCACCATACATTTTACCAACATGAATATGTCCCAAAGGATACTCATCATGCGTAGGGCAGTTGCACACATTATGCAAGGCTCTACAGTTACGTACAACACTGTGTGTGCAAACACTTCATCGGGATCCTTATCGTGTTGATGACACCAATCTAGAACCTGATCAATTGCCACCATCTCTGCATGTCGAGTTGCCTGGGAGCATACACAGAGACAAAAGAAACATTTTTAAAACTGCCATAAATTGATCTGCAGTTGTTAAACTTCCTTACAACCAAGAGAACTGAGAATACCACACCACAAAAACCAGTTCTCTTTTGTGTGAACATGAGTGCCTACACCTACTCTATGAAGGGTCCGATTCTTTTCACTTCCATCAGAGAAGCAATTTAATACTCCTTGGAAAGGGATCACTGCTTTGCCTGGTTCAAGCTGGAAAACAGAGTTCATTATAAGAGTGCATTTGCAGTTTGGCACAGCCTGAGATGAAGAAGCAACATTCAGCCTCAAACTATAGTCACATGCAACTCACAACGCAGGCATGGGTTTGATCAGACTGCTTATTTTGTCTGCTCCTGGACAGAACAAGCAAAGTTCTAAAACCAGGAGTACACCTCTCTCTCAGATGGATGGCAGGTGTGGGTAGAGTAGTGATTCTCAATCAGGTGCCCTGGCACGCCTTTTTAAGGGTGCCATGAGGATATGCAGCCATGCAGACACACACACATGATTCACAAGCTAAACCCAGAGATTTCAAAGAGGAATACAGACCGGCCAAACCATTCTGCCTTTCTGTGGGCCTGACAAGTTCTTTGCAATATACAAATTGCTTTGCTATTTTTCCATAGTCAAGAAATAAGTGAAAATTAAGAGCTGGCATTTTTTTTTTTGGGGGGGGGGGGGGGGGGGGTCTTGAATCTGACAGGGGGTACCTAGAGTTGAAAAAACTTGAGAACTGTTGTGAAAGGTAATGCTAATTGCACAGATCAGCGTGACTATGATTCCTCTTTGCAGCCAATAAAGGCTGAAGAATGGCTGGTGGAGTTAAGAAACAAATGCTAAGCCATCACAAGGATAGGAACAGCACAAAGAACCCAAGTGGAATAGAAAAAGCACCAGAGTTGCAGAGAAAAATAGCACTGCCATAAAGTAATGTCCTAACAATTCATCATAATGTCTACTACAGTTACTGAGATGTCACAATAAAAACAACACAAAAAAACTGGGTCCATAGTTGGATTATGTTTTGCAGCTCTATGATACCAGCGGATTACAAAGTGGCAAACACAGTCAATATTTTTCTCTTTTTCTAAATCCCTGTCTAGAGATATGATGTGTTTGTGGCATAGATGCTGGACTGAGACCTGGGACATCAGAGTGCAGATCCTAGCTACGCCCATTGACTTCCTGTATGACCTATTTAAATCTCTCTGAGACTCTTTTCAATCTCTACCAAATAATGCACTCTACTAATCCTTCCCAGAAGACTAAAGCTCAAGGGACCATTAGGCATACAAGTATAGACAATTTTATCTTCCTCTTCACCAAGCATGGTCTGGACATACCTGACAACTGAACATAAATTAAAGGAACACCATCACCTTAAACTGTGCCACAGTAATTAGGGATTTTGAAATAAGCCTAGTTGTGGAATGTTTATGCAGCATTAATGTGTGCACATGAAAAAAACAACTTTCATGTTGGGTCATAAAGGTCCATGTATACTCTTCTATTAGCTCAATAAATGAAAATCACTATTTACTACCTGCATACTATTATTCGTTTAATACATATGTTTAAAATACATGAACAGCAATAATGGGAAAGAATTCTCTTTGTAAGAGATCCAAAAAAACGTGGTGGAAAGAAATACATTATTTGAAGGTGATGTCATTAGCCTATAACTTGGGACTACTAATACAGCACCCAATATTGCGCCAAGTGTTTTACAAATAAAAGATACCATCCCTCCCCTACAAAGGCTATATTCTAAATCTTAGACAAGAATTAACAAGTGAGAGCAACAGAGCTGAGATAAAATAAAACTGTATTACTGGTAATTTGAGAATAGGAACAATACTTCATTTTAATGATTACATACTGAACTTGCAAGATGCCCCAGGCAAAAGACGTATGCTGTAATGGCTGAACCAGGAGACAAGAGAGAGGATGAGCCTGCATGTGGTAACAGAGCACCTTTCTGGGAGAAAACATTTCAATGGAGCAGTATGACTGCCACATAGCTGAGGATGGCAATGCCAGAAAAAAGTCTAGTTAGAAAGGGCCATATGTAATATCAGAGGGGGAACAGTAGAGTTGGTTTGAGGAAGGGCTGTGAATGATCAAGCAAGCTAAAGAGCTGCCAAAGGAAAGACAATGCTGGCAAGGTCATGAGAACCTACTGCCAGGTTTTTTAAAATGAGAATCTTGCAAAGATCTTTGTAGCAATATTGCCCAAGGCATACAAGTAATGAGAAGCCTAACAGTCTTGAAGGGTTGAAGCTAGAGACATGCTCCTACTAAGCAACCAAAAAGACATAGTAAGACAAAACCCCCCCCCACCACTTCCCAATCTTTGCCAGCAGAAAACAGCCAAATATAAAACAATTTACAGATAAACCTAGTAGAAAGAGACTACGTGTATATTGCTATTGGACTGTGGAACAGAGGGAAAGTATACATGACAACGTTCCTAGCCTTTGGCCTTTAAATCCTGTCCCCGCTGCTCAACTAAGTAGTGGGACAGCGATTGCAAAGCCCCAGAAGTTGGGAATCGGGGCCAGGGAAGCTATCAGAGAAATTCTTACCAGTAAAAGTGAACACCTGAAACCAGACTCTTCTCTGTGGCAGGAAAGGACACAGTAGGAACAATGGGCTCAAACTGTAGCAGAGGAAATTTAGGTTGAAGATTAAGAACTGCTTCACTGTGAATGTGAATCAGCACTGGAAAAGGGAGGTCGTGGAATCTCCATTCCTGGTAATTTTCATAAGCTGGTTGAACAGACACAGACACTTGGCTGGAACGATTTAATCAGCAATAACCCTGTTTTGAGCAGGGGGCTGGATCAGATTACCTCAGGATGTTCTTTCCAGCCCTGCTTTCCTATGATTCTATACCTCATTGGATGAATAACCACTTCAGAAAGGATATTAGGAGCGAGTCCGCAATGAACAGAAAAAAGGATTCATCAGACAGTTTTATGTTGGAGGCCAGAAAGTATAGGGAAAAAGTTGGAACTGCCAAAGGTTATTCAAACTTTTAAAAACTAGACTTCACAAAAGACATTAAAAGTTTCTTTAGACTTGTAAGTAAAAACAAAACAAGGAAAAATAAAGTGGGGCTATTGTGCAGTGATTAGGGAAAATTAAGGTATAGGTCCAAAACTATATGCTTTGTTTTAGTTTTCAGTATTAAGGAAGGAGGCAAAGGCAGGAAAGAGCTAATGGGAAAGGGGTATGGACATGGAAATCACAGCATCTAAAGTAGAAGTAAAACTCAAAAGAGCAGATACCATTCCACCAATTAGACATCTAAGTAGATGCAAGTGCCTAAATGCAATCCTAGTTCACCCTGCTCTAGTACCTGAAATGTTAACACCTATTTTTGGAACATACCGTCACTTTAGCCTCAAGATAAAATTACAAAAAAGCAACAACCAAGAGGTAGACGAGTATGCACCCACCTTCTGCGTTAACTGTTTTTCAAGGGCTTGTGCAGGGTGGAATAGGCACCTAATCTCACTTTTGTACGTGATAGATAGGTGCATACAATCTGTTCACCCATCTTCAAGAAACATGAATTCAAACAAGAATGGATGCAGAGAAGGACAAATAGAATGATTTGGAGAAAAGAGTGTTTTGGTTAACCTAAAAATATATATACCAAAGGCTGAGAGGCGATGCAGTTCTTTTCTATAAATACATTAGGCACTAAATATCAGGGAAGGAAAAGAACCGTTTAAACTAAGTGCCAACACTGGCACGAGAACAAAGGGCCATGAGTAAGTTCAGGTAGGAAATCAGAAGGTTGGTGAGTGTCAGAGGAGTACGTTTCTGGAAAAGCCTCCCAATATGAGACAAGAGGACAAGAAACTTAAATGATTATATAATAGAAACTGACACATTTATGAAAGCAATTACATGCTATATTCGCTACAATAGCCTTAATGACCCAGGAGGTTCCTTCCAGTCCTATGTTTTCCAATGCCAGAAAATGTCATGAAAATAAAAAGACCAAGAGAGAAACTGAAGGCATTTTGGTCTTTTCCTGCTTACCATATTTCCTGGTATGTGTTCATCTTTACTCACACTGTCAGACTGCTTGGTGTAATTAAAGAACAAAAGCCAAATATTCAAAAGCACAGTACACCCGAAGTTCTCAATGACCTAAATGAGAGTGATGGGTACCCAGCACTTCCGAAAATTAAACCATGAAGATCTGAAGCTTGGGAGCTTAAACAAAAATGGCCTGAGTCAGAAAGATCCAAATCACTCACTGCTCCTGCTGGAGACAGTGGGAATGGTGATTCCTCAAGACTTCTGAAAAATCAGGCCACTTGGAACAAGGAGCTTATCTTTACAGGCTTATGTCTGAAAATTTGGCTTGAAGCTTTCTTGATACTTTCTGCAGTACTAAAGATGTTCAGTCTGATTTTTGTGATGATCACTTTCTGTGGTTACATTCTGTCTTCTAGTACCCAAACCATTTCAACTGGTGTCAGTATTCTTTGCTTACCTTTTAAATTAAAAAAATAGTAGTTCTTTATTTTGCTAAATACCTGGCGTGGTTTACTCAATACGATTGAATTTCAGTGATGTTTATAGGTCTGAAACTGAAACCTCTAATGTGTTCTAAACTTAATTTTCATGAGTTAGAGATGGAAATCAAAACTGATACACAAAGTTTACAAATATCATCCAACAGATATAAAAGACATATTTATTATCGTTTCTGGAATTAAAAACCAGCATGATCAACTTTTAAAGTAAAATTAAGGTTTAATTCTGCAATCAGATCTATCCTCACAGTCCCACTGTCTTCAGTGGGCCCTCTTTGGGTATAGAAGGTACCCATACAAATAAGGCTGCTGGAATGGGATCTACATTTTGAAAGCAGAAGGTTTAAAAGAAGTCTTGACTGCTGGCATAATTCTGGTAAACAGTACAACAGACCTTTTCTCATCTCTACACCCATGATGTGCATACAAAACCCAGTAATCTTAGTTGCCTGCTTCCCAGAGATGTTTTCCCAAAAGAGAGCAGGAGTTAGGCTTTGTAAAACAAGACCTACTTTACTTTTGGAAAAACCCATGATGTATTATCAACTACTATCTTATAAAGTATTATTGTAAATAATTCAACTATACTTATCAAAGCATGTCTTGCAAAGCAATAGCCTTGTGGTGTTATTTAATTGGTAAACTACTTCTATGTTTTGCCATCTATTTTCCAGTCATTAGTGAGCAAGGGTTTCCCGTATAATATAATGATGTGTAAGTATCCACATGTAAGTTATAGTATCCTATCATTACAATCCATTATCTTTACCACAGCATATTGTAGTCTAAAGAAAATTGGGTATTACTTTAATTGCATACCAGAATTTAGTAAAACAAGCTGTACTTACTATACGTATTTGTATATAGCTACACTATATCTGTATGGATCTGCTTTCTTTTTTATTTTTAATGCCTATTGTTATCAGTATTTTTACCTAGTAGAATTAATTAACATAACTAAACAAGTACAATTCATTAAGAAGTTTTCAGCAAAAACATTTTTGTTGGAAAATGCTAGTTTGTTGAAACCAGTGCTTTATGGGAAACTTCTCCCAGGCCCAAGAGGAAAATGCTAGATAGGGGAAGGAAAGAGGCCCACAACAAATTAACAGACTATTAGCAATTCTGGGTGAATGGGTCTTGCTCTCTCTCACACCTGCAAATTGTGAACAAGACCTACTTTACTTTTGGAAAAACCCATGATATATTTGTTTGTACTAGAGGGCATAGGAAAAAAAAAATCTCAAAAATGCTTCTGGGACATTTCCCCCCATGTCTGTTAATACTGCATTTACTCATATATCACATGCAAAAATTAGTCATCCAGAATTGGGGTGCATGTTTTTAGTGAGAAAGCTGGTTTCTATGCTGGAATGGAGGCATGGGGACACTGTAATGGCTACCCCTGGGCCCATACAGCAAGGACGGAGTACAGCTCTCAGTGGGCATGTCTACACAAGACTTTTTTAGCCTAATAACACCATGCAGTAGTGCTAACAGCCTACTGGACAGTGTTTAAGCTAACACACAGTAAGCATCATATAATAACCATGTGCCAGCATTACTGCACAGCCACTCTAGTTACTGCACATTTAGTTAGTACTTTATTAAGCAAGTACTAAACTAAATGTGCAGTATCTAAGGCACATTAATGAATGTGTTGACATGCCCAGTGTCACTCAGCCTCTCTTTCTACCTCCAAAGCTCAAGCTGTCACAAGCACTGCTAAACTGGCTTGAATTTTGGACCTGGAAGGAGAGGGCAAGCGATGCATGTACCAGGGAACATTCAGCCAGGGTGAGCCTATGTTGTGGCAGGGAAGACTCTGGAAAATATCTTTTTTTCTTCATTCTGCCTTCTCAAACCAGGGTGTCTTATCTGGGGTGGATAAGGGTGAAGGGGTTGGTATGCAAGAAAATACAGGCAAGTAGAAATTATTATATCAATTATTCATATAAAATTACCATCACTAACTAAATTAACAACAGCAGAAAGCAGAGTGGCATCTTGGACACTAACTCATTTGGACAGCAGCACCTTTCATAGGCGACAGCCTACTTTGCCATAATATCTGAAGAAGTAGATTGCTGCCTCTCTGACACCACTCAAGATACCAGCCTGCCCTGCCCTTCTGCCTTATTTAAGACAAACATAGCTAACTACTTTTTCATATGAACACCTGAGATCGAGATGTTAAAATCACCTTTTGTCCTAGGCCGGATCCAGGTTGCAGGGCTTCTTGCCCTGGAGATCCAAGAGAGCATGGGGTGGCTCTGGAGCAAGTGGCAGCAGTGGTGGCACTGGCAGCTCCAGCTCCTTCTTACTGCACACAGCAGCAGCTCTTGCTTATGGAGCTGGAGATTCTGGTGCTGGCACACATTTCATGCTGCAGCTCTGGCTCCAGCACATGGCACGTTGTGGCAGCAACAGAACCAGCAGCCAAGCAGCTGAGGCCATGGGTGTGGCAGCAGACAAAGCAGCCAGAGGGCAACCAGGGCTGCATCAGCTCTTTCTCCCCCAGCTGCCACCAACTGTCATGTGCCCCAAGGCCCAAGCATCCCTGATTCTGCAGCAGGTCATGCCTCCCTGTCCAAACCTCACAACTTACAGTGGCCCGCTGGTAGCCCAGCAAGCTGGACAGAGCAGCTCCATTAGCTGGATCCAGCCTACAGGCCATACACTTGACCCCCTGACTTAGATGACTGCAAATGTGCTTAAAACAACCATGCTCCGAGACACAAACATATAAAAGATTAGAGTGGGGGGAACACAAAATAGTGGGACACAGACAGAAGTCTGAGATGTACATGATGTGCTGTTCTAAATCCTGATGACACTTAAGTCAATGGCAAAACTTCCATTGTACACAGTACATGTGCTCTGTTAGGGGAACAAGCAGTCTTCAGTGGCAGGCCCTTGTTTGTAACTTACATTCTTTGTCTCATTCACCTCATTCCTCCCCGTTGCCAGGATCTCATTGTTATAGACCATAAGGCAGCCGACAGGAACTTCCCCATTTTCTAAGGCTTCTTTAGCCTATGGAAACACACAGGAGAAAACAGAGCGAGTGTTAAGAATAACCAGAGGTGTAATACTGGCACAACAGCCCTGTCCCCTGCCTGCAAACTGGTGGCCTTATCAGCAGTTCCTTCAGTTTAAATCATTTGGATTACAGGGCATCACTGGCACATTTGTGCTAGGGCAGTGGTGCTTAACTCCCAGCCCGCAGGTCAGATCCAGCCCCTGGTGCTGTGTCATCTGGCCCATGGGGTTCCTCACAATCCTGTGGGAATTCCCAGAGGCCATAGGCCTGCATGGTAGATAGAGGACACATGGGGGCCAAGCAGGGGTGGTGGGAGACCCCCAGAGCTTGACCCTGGCCAGTGGGGGTTGCACAGATCCCTACAGTGCCTCCACGCAGCTGGGATCAGGCCCCAGGGGCACCACAATTAGGGTCGCCATCACAGTGGACAGTCTGGTTGTCCTCTGTTCTCTACTGATACAAAACCCGACACCTTTACGTCCTTTATTTTTCTCTTGAAGAAAAGCAATTGCTATTTTTCTCTTCAACAAATTGCTTGAAGAGAAAAACAGAGGGCATAAAGGTGTCAGGTTACATATCAATAGATAACAGAGTAGCAGAAAACTGGAATGTCCTCTATGATGGCCACCCCAACCAGTGCCCCCTTGGGCCAGCATCAGGCCCAAGGGACCCACACTGCCCCTGCATGACCCGGATCGGACTCCAGCCAGGTAGAGGGCCCTGCCCCCCGCAGGCAGCCCTTTAACTCACGTTAAAGTTAACGCGGGACAGCGCTGCCCGTGTGTCCCCCCCCCTCAGAACCCGGCCCAGGCCCCGCCCTCCAGGCGGGTGGGGGAGGGCCCCCCCGGCCGCCCGCACCATGCGTAGCGCTCGGTCCATCCAGGCCGCCGTCGCCGCCTCCATGTCCGGCCTGCCGGAACCCGGCGAGCGGGGCGGGCGTTTCCGGGGGGACCCGGAAGTGCCCGGGCACTGGGGAAGACCGGACCCCCCCCTCCGCCCGCAAGCACCAGAACTTCCGGCCACGCCCCCACGCTCTACGTCACGGCGTCCGGGCGGGGAGAGGGGCGGTGGCGCCGCGCTGCGGGGCAGGATGCTCCGCTCGCTGTGGAGCTTCTTGAAACGCCACAAGAAGAAATGTCTCTTCCTGGGTACCGTCCTTGGCGGTGAGTGCTCCCTCTCCCTTTAGGCACGAGCCCCACTCCCCCGAGGGGTTTCAGTGGCCCCGTCACTGAGCTTAGGGGGAACGTTCCATCTCGCTGCGGCCCGGACAGACATGCGGCCGGGTTTGGATTAGAGCGGTTCATCCCGAGGCAAAGCCCAGCCTTGCCTGTGGGGCTGCTTGAGGTCCACGGAAGCCCACGTTACCTCCCGCATGAAAAGCACAGGCTGAAGGCAGGGGGCCCTTGTGCAGGCTATCTCAGTCTGAGGGCGCAGGGAAGCAGGGCTGGAAGGGATCTCACAAGGTGATCTAGGCAGGATGGTCCCCAAGGAAATCATGCCAGCCAAGTGCCTGTCCTACCCACTCTTGAAAATTTCCAGTGGTGGAGATCCCACAGTTTCTCTCTGGGCAGCCTATCCCAGTGCATGGTGAATTCAGGTGCATTAAATTTATTTGTCTGTGGCCCCACCAGGGCCAGGACCTCCTGGTCATCCTCCTCCTGGCCCTGGCCAAGCTGGGCTGACAAGGAAGGAGGCTGTGGCCAGGAGGGTCCCCGGGGACTGCAGGACGCTTTCCTTGCCCTACTTCATTCCCGTCTCCAAAGAGAGTATCTCTGGCTCCTTGGATTCATTTGAGGGTTGGTAGGTGCTCGCTGGTGTGCTCTGCTCTGTGTCCCCAGTTGGCACTCGTGTTTTGAAACTTTCACCTCCACTCCTCTCTCTGTTTTCATTATTATATGTCCAAAGAAATTTGTAACATACCACTAGTGGCCCCCAGTACTAAAGGGGGTTATAGTTTCTGTAGCGGACCTGGCCCACGACTTCCCTCGATGCGTTAACAGTGCTGCTCCACTGCGTGGCCACCTATGCATAGTCAGCAAGTTCCTCCTGATCGCCAACCTAAATTTCCTCTGCTGCAGCTTGAGGCCATTGCTTCTACTCCCAGCCAAGTGGCCACAGGGAAAAGCCCATCTTTGTCCTGTCTAGAATTGATCATCAGGTATTTGGAGACTATTATTAAATCCCCTCTCGGCATTCTCTCTTCGAGACTAAATAACTTGCCTTCTACAGCCTTTCCCCAGAGTCTTGCTCAGTCTTTCTAATCTGCACCCATCTTTCTTGAAATGTGCAGCCCAGAACTGGACAGTCCAGGTGTGGTCTCACCAGTACCAAATAAAGGGGAAAGAAATTAAAGGGAAGAATCATTTCCCTTGGTTTGCAAGTGTCATTCTATTTGATACAACCCAGTATGCTGTTGGTTTTTTTCACAATAAGAGAATGCTGTTGGCTCATATTCAGCTTAAGGTTTGAAGAAACCACCAGGTCCTTCTCTAGTACTGCAGTCTAGCTATCTTCATGTGGGCCCACAGGCTTGTCTGTCTGTAAAGGCAGGGGTTCACCATGAGACAAGCCAATGCAAGTCTGAATTGTATCACTCATCTCTTGACCCATAGAGAGCTCCTTGTCTGAATGCTCCATTACCATCATGGGAGACAGTTGGCTGGTCGTTCCTTGGGCCTGTGCAGGACCGAGAAGGCCCCTGCATTTAAGTGCTGAAAGCCACAAAGTGCAATCTGGAGTGATATGCAAAGCTGGTTCTGGCTGTAAAGATCTACTGGGATCTGGTCAAGGTTGGGGAAACTGCCCTAGGACTAATGGCAGTGGGTAATCCAGCAGAGTGCTTTGCCTGAGGTCAAAGGCTGGCAACAGCTGGTGGCTTTCAATGGGTTTTATGCACAGTCAGTGAAATGATCAGACCTGCTTGATGAGTATCAGGGATGTGGGCCTTAGACCCACAGAGAAACAGCTAGCCACCTCACACACATCTGTTAATAGCAGGGGTTACTGTATGTGTGTCAGCTGATTTTGTGGGACAAATCAAAGACAAAAGAGGGGGAATGGGAGTGAAGGTTAAAAATGAGTGCATCAAGGATGGACACTGAGCAGTGCACACCAAACACTGCCCATTGGCCTTCAAACAGGTCCAGGGAGCCAGTGTCCTGCAGGGGTTGGTGCTTGGTCCAGTACTTTTCAACAACTTTATTAACGATTTGGATGTGGGGGTGAAGAGCTCACTGGCCAAGTTCGTGGACAACACCAAGTTATGGGGGAGCGTGGTCATGCTTGAAGATAGGCTACAGATACAAGCAGACCTAGACAGGCTTGCAAGTTAGGCGGATCGGAACCTGATGAAGTTCAACGTTGAGAAATGTAGAGTGCTTCACCTCAGGATGAGCAACCCCCAACACACCTACAGGCTTGGCGGCACCAAACTGACTAGCACCATGAATGAAAGGGACCTGAGAGTAATAATAGATCACAATATGAACATGAGCCGTCAGTGCGGCGCTGCAGCCAGTAGGGGAAATAATACTCTGGCATGCATCAATTGATGCATCTCCAGCAAAACCAAGGAGGTGATTCTTCTGCTCTACTCGGCACTGGTGAGACTGCAGCTGGAGTACTGCATCCAGTTCTGGGCACCGCACTTGAATGAGGATGTGGACAAGCTTGAGAGAGTCCAGAGAATAGCCACTCATATGATCAGAGCCTTAAAAGACAAGCCATATGACGAAAGGCTGAGGGATCTGGGACTCTTCATCCTGAGGAAAGGAAAGCTGAGAGGGGACCTGGTAGCAGCTTACCGCTACACTAGGGAAGTACATCAAGTGCTCAGTGAGCAACTGTTCATTAGGGAACCTGAGGGGAAAACCAGGAGTAATGGCCTCAAACTCCTGGAAGATTGATTCAGGCTCAGCATTAGGAAAAACTTCTTCACAGTCAGAGTGTCCAGACTGTGGAATAAGCTCCCTCCAGAGGTGGTGCAATCAGCTACCCTGTAAAGCTTCAAGTGGAGCCTAGACAGTCACCTGACCCCCATTTATGTTTCCTGCTTGGTGCAGGGGGCTGGACCTGATGATCTTCCAAGGGCCCTTCCAGCCTTACAATCTATGAATCTATGAACACTGCCCAGGAAACCTCTGCCTGGAGACATAAATGGACAAAGGACAGGAAAGCGGCCTCACAGTCCCTGGGATTCTTCCCAGCCAGAAAGAATTTTGATATACCATTCAGGACAGTGGGCCAAAGCCAGCAAGTAGAGCTATATGCCACTCCCCCCCCAGTGATGGAAGCTGCTAAGGGCATAGCACTGATTGCTTGTGACAAAAACAAAACAAAACAAAAAAGCAAAACAGGGACGGGTGTGAAGGCTTGGCTCAAAACAAGCGTTGCAAGGGGAGATACAGAACAGAACACACTGAACAGTGTCCACTGGCCTTTGAATGAGTCCAAGGAGCCAGTGGACGCTGCCCAGTGTAATTGCTTGGAGCCGTGAAACAACAACGGACAGGAAAGCAGCCCCACAGCCCCCAGAGGTCCTCCTTCCTGGTCAGATACATTGCTAGCTTGGCTAGGGCCAGGAGAAGGTTGACTAGGACTTGGTGGAGACATGGGTGGGGAGCTCATAAATAAAGACGCGTGGGGCGCAGTGCAGCCAGAACCCCAGCAGAAGGTTCTGGAGGAGGCGGGGAAGGGGCTGCAGCCTAGTGCACTCCAGGTAAATGTGTGCCAGGGTCTCCCTCTGCTCACAGAAGGGGCAGATTTTGGGAGATTAAATAGTCAAATATAGGTGTGCTGCAGGCAGATAGACTGTTTTATTTGAGAGATTTCAGTGTGATTAAATATTGTTCCTGCTTTGTAAATACTGTAGCACAGACTGTCCCTGATAACTTTTCTCCTCTTCCCAGGTGAGGTACAGTCCAGTCTGGGCTGCTAGAAGTTCCTCCCTTTCCCCAAAGCATAAAGAAGCCCTGGGAGCCAGGAACTGGGTGGAAGGTCTCTTGCACCCAGGGTCTTGTTCCTTTCTTAGTGCCTGGGGAAACTGATCAACAAATAAGGGCTTTTCTTGTGCAAGAGAATTCTGCATACCTAGGTGAGCTCACTGGTAATATGCCTTTCCAACTCTTTGAGCAGCTGCAAAGTCTTTTTTTCCCTCCTCTTGATAAATGCTACTGATTCTCTTTCCTGCTCAAGGGGTTTTGATCCCTTCCAGAAAGACCTGGGGTTGGCCCAACCAATCATTTTTCCTCTGGGACTGACTGCCAAAGAAGTGTGACTGCCTGATTGGGTCATCTTCTCTTTCTTCCCTGATCGGGTTCCAATGTGCTCTTTTTAGAGGCCAGACATCGTGGAGCCCAGATTCTTTGGCCATTCTTTTGTGGTCTCTGTCTGACTCCAGTGGGCTGGGGGTAAAATGGAAAGCCTCCACCTGCTATCTTATTTGTAATCTTTTTGTTCTTAATTTGCAGTCTTGTGCCATCCATACCAGTAGGGTATTGATGAAGTAAAGTACAAATAAAGTATTTTTGAGGTGCTAAAATAAAAACACTTAAAATATGGTTGATTAAAAAGAAGAAAATTGCACTTCAGCTCATTGTCATATTTACCTGTTTCTGCCCTTACCTGCAACAGGTTCCAAATGCCAGTTGCGTGATACTACTGTTTCTGGGAAATCAACTATGATTTATGTACAGCTGACAGCTTAACATTGAAAAACAGGGCAATCCTGGTCTGCCACTTTTCAGTGGGTCTTTTTCCAAAGCTGGTAACAGCCTACTGTATTTTCTTACATACATGTGCACCTTTTTGTTCCACCCAAAAACAGCTGCTGGAAATGGGGGTGGGTATTATAAGCAAGGAAATGTGGTAACAGTAGTTAACTGCTGCTTAAACTTTTTTATTCTGCAAGTGTGAAGGTAAGTCTGCAGGGGGTCCCTGGGGA